GTGTTTGCACAACAATATGAATGTACTTAATATCACTGAGCAGTACACTTAGAAATGGTTAAGACGGTAGACTTTATGTTATGTGTATTTCATCACATACAAAAAACAGGCGAGCCTGCCAAAGGGACACCGAAGCTGAACTGAAAGTGGTCTCGGGGGGCAGAGCTGCAACCATTTGAACAACAAAATACATCATTCTGCATTCCTATCAGTATTGGATAATGAAGTACTAGATGATAAAGTACAAAATAAGTATATGTGAGTCCATACTGATGTAAATATAATGATTAAATAAATAGGAGAGAAGAGGCAAAATTTCTTACAGAAGAATTCCAACGTGTATCTTTGGATACTCTCCTCCAGGAGGTGAAACTTGAGGATGAGCTAGATTTAGTGACTTGTTTCCAGGGGAAAGGGAAAAATAGTAATTTTACTATTAAGTCGGACAGCGCCTTAACAAAGTGATCAAGGGTAACATCAACAGTAATGAGTCATATTACTGGCATGAACTGCTGGTATAATGAAAAGGGCACCTCGCCTCTATGGCATTCCTCCCCCAAACCTACAAGCCCAGTCTAATCATGAGAAAAACATTAGACACACCTAAACACAGGTATATTCTGCAAAATACCTCACCAGTGCTTTTTGAAAAGTATCTGGGTCCTGAAAATCAGGAGAGTCTGAGACACTGCACAAACCAAAGAAGACTAAGGAGATAGGGCAACTAACTGTGATATAGGATCCTGAATTGCATCCTGGAACAGAAAAACATTAGTGGAAAAACTTAAGAAATTTAAATAAAGTTTAGAACTTAGTTAACAGTAAGGTTCAGATGTTGGTTTCTTGATTTTGACAAATGTACCATGGTTCTGTGAGATGCTAACAATAGGAGAAACTGAGTAAAAGGCATATGGGAACTCTCTATACTATCTGCAACTTTTCTGTAAGTCCAAAAAAAATTTTTTGTTAAAAAAAAACTAGGGGCGCCTGGGTGGCTCAGTCAGTTAAGCGTCCGACTTCAGCTCAGGTCATGATCTCGCGGTTCGTGAGTTCAAGCCCCGCGTCGGGCTCTGTGCTGACAGCTCAGAGCCTGGAGCCTGTTTCGGATTCTGTGTCTCCCTCTCTCTCTCTCTGCCCCTCCCCCGTTCGTGCTCTGTCTCCCTCTGTCTCAAAAATAAACATTAAAAAAAAAATAAATAAAAGGTTTGGCAATAAAGGTGATGGGAATATCAAAGAAACACAAGAACATCAGTATAAATTGGGCCTCATGGCTGTGGTTGTTGGGAGGATCGCTCTCAGCTGTAGAGATTCTCATTGGCTCTCTGCCCACAAAACAGCATTTATTGAGCATTATTCCAGTGTGGTGATTCTCAGAGTTTGTGTGTATCAGAATCAGCTGGAAAGTAATAAAGACCACAGGGACCCAGGTTCCTTGAAGTAAACTAGCACTGGACTTCTGTATTTTCAGAGTTTCCTAATGATCCTGATACATATCCAAGCCTGAGAACCACTGCGGTAGCACTTCTCTATTAGTGTGACCCTTTAGTCATTCATTCGTTCATCCATCCATTCATTCAGTAACCATTTATTGAGCCACTGTTCTGTGCCAGCCCGTTCTTAGTATTAAGTATACAGTAGTAGACACACAGGCAAAGACCTCATGGAGTTTACATTCTAATACACAGATAAAACTACTCTGACTGAGACTCTTGTATTTCCCAGTTCCAAGTCCCCAGAGAGAAAATATGATTGGCCTAGCTAATCACCACCAGCTAATCTGCTGTTTGTTTGTGGAATGGGGGAACAGAGCTTTTATCAACAGGCCACTTCATAAGTTATTAGCGTTGGTGTTGGCTTCTGGTAGTCAGGGGTTCCCCTCTACTCCAATCAGCTGTGGCTGGGGTTCCACGGCCCGAAACATGACCCCTCCTGAGGTTTGCTCCCTCAGCAAAACTAGGTCAGGAAGGGGCCACGGGTAAGAAAGGCCCTGTTGTCTGACTATAGAGACTGGTGGTTATCCAAATGCAGCAAGAAGCAAACTTTCCCGGAGCAGTATAAAGGCAAAAATATGAGGCTGCACTAGTCAGCATGAAACCAACATCCTTCCATCATGAACTATTTATTTATGGGCTTTTGCTTTGCTGCTGCCTGTGATGTTTCAAAATAGCAGCTTGCCTGCAGCAGATTCCTATTTCAATTGAGATTATCTCGGACAATAATCTCCCATGCATTCCCCTCCATCATTTTATATTCATTTTGTTAGCTTTGGCAACATACTTAGAATTTTATCCTTTGCCTTCTGCGCATATTCACTAACTGAAAGAGGAAAAAAGCTAGCACCAGGAAAACGGGAGCAATGGTTATCACATATTTTTAGTCCCAAATCAGGTGAGCCTTGTATCTCACCCTGTACAAATTGCTACTAAAAAATAACACAGATTTTTGATGAGGCACAAATGGGAATGGTAGTGGTAACTTATTAACTAATCCTGGAAAAGACAAGACTTTGAGACTATTTCATTCAGTTCAAAACAACAAACTTTACTACCCAAGACTCAACCAGGAACTGGGGATCTGAAAATGAAAAAACCCAACCCTTACCCTGAATGAATGGACCATAAATGGTGGAAGACAGGCCTATGACTATAATGATGTTGCCAGAAATTATTCTAGGAACTAAGAGTGAGATGCATTTTTCTAAATTTAGGGATATATAAGTAACATTTGAGAGGGACCTAACAGGATAGTTAGAATTTTTCTTTCCTTTTTAAGTTTATTTATTTATTTTGAGGAAGAGAGAGAGTACGTGTGCAAGCAAGGGAAGGGCAGAGAGAGAGAGAGTGAGAGAGAGAGAATCCCAGGTAGGCTCCACGCTGTCAGCACAGAACCCAACATGGGACTCAAACTCGTGAGAACTCATGAACCGTGAGATCATGACCTGAGACGAAATCAAGAGTTGATCGCTTAACCAACTGAGCCACCCAGGTGCCCCAGAATTTTTCTAAATATAAATTTAAGAAGGAGTACCCCAGTTGTGTGGATCAGTGTGAATAAATAAGGTAGGAAAATAAATGGCCTATATGGGGAATAGCTATTCCTTATATGACTGAAATAAAATATAGCTCTAAGGAAGGGTCAGAGTTGCTCATGGACTACCTAAGGTCCACATCCTGGGTTTTGCAAACCATAGTGTCAAACGTCTGGGAAACAAAAATTTGACCACTGAACATAGCAATAGCTTATGACACCACCATGAAGAGGATTATAATTGTCAAGCAGAATGAGAACATCAGCAAATCTAGTTCTTATATGTAGTCATTTACATTAAATTTATTAATGAATTCGCTGCCAGACACTCTGCTAAGTGTTAGGAACATAGAGCTGATTACACTGAAGTCCATGCTCTTGAGGAACCTAATAACTGAATGTTTCATTTGTGTATTTTAAGTGTTTACTAGGGTTCCTAAAAACCTGGCGTTAGTTTATTGACAGCAAAGAAAGATAAATGATGTTTTATTTCAAAATTTTAAATACTGTTTTATTATTACAGAAGCAGTCCGTGAGAATTAGAAAATACAGAACCAGCAAAAACAAAAAATAATCTCTGTTACACCCAGAAATCATCACTGTAACCCTTGGTCCATATCCTCCCACACCTTCATATACGTACATACGTATTAATATGTATTTTGCTTACAAAAATATTTTCATGTTGTTTACAGACATACTGTGGCTTGTAACCTGGTTTTTTTTTTCAGTCAATAATTTCCACTTTTCCATGTTAGTAAATGCTTTGAATATTCATATTCAAATTTGACCATTTGAGCCAAAAATGCCCTTTACAGCTAATTTCTCCAAATCAGTCTTCAACTCAAGACCTTACATTGCATCTCCTGATTATGTCCTTCCTATCTGTTTTAATCCAGTATAGTCCCTTTCCTATAATTCTGACTTGAAAAAACTGGTGAGCTGTGCTGAAGAATAGTTCACCTCCTTTATTTGCCTGGTTATTTCCTTGTGATGTCATTTTACATACATTTCCCTCTATCCTCTACCCTGGGAGATCTAACTAAAGATGTGATAGAAGCCCCAAATATTTTGGGCTAGAATATTTCATGGGTGGTAATGTGTACTTTACATTGCTTCACACCAGAATACACGTTTTCTGACATCTGGTTGACCCACCATTAGTGATCAAATTGACCACTGGGGAATGGCCATAATTGGAGATTTTATAGGGAAGGGGCAAAAGGAGCAACGGAGTAGGAAAAGTGTGAATACAACTTGGCTACTTAAAGTAACCAAGGGTTTCCTAGGAAGTGGGAAACCCAGCAGCAGGAGGTGGAACACCAAGGGCATCCAATTGCGCTTTCCACTCCGACATCGCTCAGATTGTGACCGATCCTCTGATCTTGTTCTCATAATTAGGAAGGCAAAAACAGAATCAGAACGTTTTCCTTTATAAAACTGAGTTTAGCTGAGCGGATGCAGTATCCAGCCCACGGAGAGGCACTATCGCCCTCTGTATAAATTGGGACAAGACCCCCCCCGCCAGAATAGCTCTCTGTGTTTGGACCCGCCCTATTCTTTTTGGTAGCAGCCTTTCCCTGCTTCTGGCCACCAGGGGGAGCTATGACAATGCAATCGTTCATTCAGGCGAGCGGGAACGCGTCTGTTTAAGCTTGTCTGACGTAGGGATCCGTAGCAAGATGCCAAGGCCGGAGGAACTGTTTTTCTATTCTCTCGCGAGCCTGAATAAGCCCCTCCCCGCCTGCGGGTGTTCAGCCCTCTTCCGGTGATTTGCGGCAGGTGGCGCTGTCTGCGGCGTCGCAGCGGCACTGGGTGCCGCGGCGACGCTCTCCCGGCGGGCAGTGCGGCCCGGCTCTCCGGCGGCAGCTAGTGCCACGTCCCAAGTGCTACGCGGAGGAGCGGAGCGGGCGGTGCGCAGGGGGCGGGGAGCAGCGCAGATCCCGGCCCGCTCACATTGATCGCCCGCCGCCATGGGGTCCTCGCAGAGCGTCGAGATCCCTGGCGGGGGCACGGAAGGCTACCACGTCCTGCGGGTAAGAGCTCCGACGGCGGCTCGGGAGCGGCTGGCTGCAGGCGGGGCCCAGCCGCGGGGAGGCAGAGGCCCCGACGGGCCCCTTCACGGGACAGCCAGGCCTGGTCCCGCAAAGGAGCGGCGACCGCGGGCGCTGCCTTAGCCGAGGCCGGTTCGGAAGGCTGCGCGCAACTTTCTTACCGGGAGCGCTCCGGGCCAGGGATCCGCCGCTCTGGGAGGACGGAGTGGAGCCTGAGGCGGCAGCCGGCAACTTGGTCAGGGGGCGGCCCAGACACGGAGGGGGTGGGGGTACAACCTTGACTCCTGTTTCTCCTCACAGCCTTCTCCGTTCTCTTTCTCTTAATTCTTACCTTACAAAGTTAGGAAAGGCTTGGGGGCAAAGTCTGCAAAAGAGGTGATGGTCAAGGTAGCATTGGAGTTTTCTGAGAAATTGAAGCCTGGAACTCGGCAGGATAGAGGCAGGGGATGCGACGGCAGGTGATAATTCACCTCGGCGCTATCTGGGTGTCCGGAAAGGTCAATTAGGCAAACAGAAAACGAAATGGCCTAATAGTAGGTTTGACGGACTTAAATTCACTTGCTTTTGCAGGACTCTTTTCCTGTGTCGCTCCTGACCTTTCCAACCCTCCTTTTCCACATTTCCTGGCGGGGGGAACTTCCGTTCTGTTCTAAGACTGCTCAGGGTGGTAAAACAGGTAATGGAGAGGAACGTTTGAAAAAACAAACAAACGTAGGTAAATACAGGAAAGCAGCGTCAGTCGCTGGGATGGAGAAACATAGTATCTCAAAAAGCATTAGGTAAGCCCCTGCTTATGAGCAGCCTAAGTTGTTACAAAGCATGTGGTTCTTAGGGAACTGGAAGTCTTTAAAAGTAGCATTGATGGTTATGTGCTTTGACACCTGCGTGAGTGGCAACATGATGGATTGTCAACTAAGTGGCCCTAATCCGTAGTACCATTTCAGGACATAGTAGAGTGTCACTAGATATTAGCTGCTCTCAGGCAACAGCATTTTCACTGCAAGTGAGAAAGTACTTCCTGGTGCTTACGGTCATTCTGTCTTAGATCCCATGTTTTAGGTGAGACAGCATTCGTAAACTGAATTACCCAGTTAAGTGTGTGATAGTACTGTGATCGATCCCCTTTCTGATCTTCAGGATTATCATGTCTTGTTGCCTCTCCACTGTACTGAAAATCTCTCTTGAAGCCACACTTTTGGTAGGAAAGGATGATTTGCCCGGAAAATAAAGGGAATCTTTAAACAAACCATATTACCTTCGTATTCCCTTCAGCTGAGCCAGCCCCATGTGCCACACTGATGGGAGAAATTGAAGGAGAATTGTTGGATCTAAATGTAAAGTGAAAATTAGCAACAGTACTTTTCTGTTATCTGGTTTGATTTTGGTTTTCTACCCTGGAGGCCGATAACCAGTATTACCAGCTGATTCTCACAGTGGCTGATGGTAGCCGTGAATCCTTGGAGACTCATGATATTTTAATAATACGTGCACTCAGTAAAACAGCATTATTGAGTTTTAAAAGTTTGTTAGAAAGCTGTATACATCAAAAGGATTGCAGTTGAACGACTTCTGTTCATGACTGTGTTCCACGTAAAGTAAGTTGAAGTATATATTCTTTACATAAGTGCACCTCAGTAAATCACTCATACATATTCAGTAGTGCAGATGTGTTATTAATCTATAAATCTGATTTTCCGAATCACTAGAGACAACCTTAGTTTTCCTGCATCTGGAGCATAAATGTTGCAAAAAATGAAATCTTATTCAAGCTTTGCTAGAGAGAGCTTTAAAATAGTAATGACCATTTAGTTTAGGAGCATTTTTAAAATGTGTTTGAGTCCTAACCTCCTCTGTCCCTAATTCTGTCATTGATTTCCAGTTATCTTTGTTTTTAGAGGGGAAAGTACCATGTTAAATCTGGACATATTAAAAAAATATATTCCTTTCATTTATTATTGCCTAATATACAGTAATATATTGCAGTGCTGGATTACTGAGCTTGTAAACTAGAATAGATACAGTAAGATAACCTTGGAGTAAAATCACTCCTATTAACAAGTTCTAGAATGATTTCTGAGAAGTTTGTTTCCTGGGGCTCCTGGATGGCTCAGTCAGTTAAGTGTCTGACTCTTGGTTTCGCCCCAAGTTATGATCTCACCGTTTGTGAGTTCGAGCCCTGCATCAGGTTCTATACTGACAGTGCAGAGCCTGCTTGAGATTCTCTCTCTCTCTCTCTCTCTCTCTCTCAAAATAAATAAACTTTAAAAATTAAAAAAAAAAGTTTGTTTCCTTTAGTAATCGATTCCCTGGCCATTTCCTTGTTAGTAATAAAAACTTGTTTGACTGGGTTTTAAAATAACAATTATAGGGGTGCCTGGGTGGCTTAGTCGGTTGAGCGTCCAACTTCAGCTCAGGTCATGATCTCACAGCTTGTGAGTTTGAGCCCTACGTCTGGCTCTGCGCTGACAGCGCAGAGCCTGGAGCCTGCTTCTGCTTCTGTGTCTCCCTCTCTCTCTGCCCCTCCCCCTCTTGTGCCTTCTCCCTCTCTCTTTTTCTCTCTCTCTCAAAATAAATAAACATTAAATTTTAAATTAAAATAACAATTATACTGACAGTCATTTCCACTGCTATCTTATTGTTACTTCAGCATTCCTACAGTTCAGGTACTTTACATTTTTTTCTCTATTCCATATCCATTGGTAGATTCTGCTTTTAAGAATTTTTAGGGGACAACATTGAAATAGTTTTAGGTTTTCTGCTGTGAGCAGTGTACGTTCCTTTTTATGTATTATGCATTTTGTATTAATGTACATTTTCGCATTGTGATCATATTGTATAGCCAACTCCCCATTCTTACCCTAGAAGTAACCACAGTTGTTTCTTACGTATCTTTTCAAAAATGTTTTATGCAGGTAAAAGAATTCTGCTCTCCTTCACTCTTTGTTTCCTTCTGTAACTGTTGGAATCACATGATACCTACTATTACTCCCCTTGGTCTTTTATTTGCTAATCCATCTTGGCAGTCGTCATAGGAGCACATAGAGATCTGCCTCTTGGTTTCACTTAGCTCCACAGCAGTTTGTTGTGTCAGAGTTTAGCTAAGCAGCACCTGGTGGTGGTGGACATTTACTTTTTCTAAAAAGTCTTTGCTGTTGTAAGTACATGTTCACAACCTCAAATCCTGTCTTGTTTTCACTTAAAATGTACATTTCCCAAATTATTGAATCTTAATATTATACAAATGATCTTCATTTTAGTAGATTACTACATTGTTTTCTGATTATCAACATATGTTCATTACAGACTTTTTAGATAAGTTAAAAAAGTATTAACAAGAACCTAAACTACCTGTAATTCTGTCATCTAAAGGTAAATAATGCCGAAGTATTTTTTCTAGTCTCTTTTTTTCTGTGCCTAACCTTGCCCCTTAGCCATGGTTCACAAAGATTTTGAATGATACGACATATTCAAGTACGGTATAGTCTGAAGTTATGGTAAGATATTGGCTTACAATCAAAAACACAGTGCTAAATAAATCAGGGCCTAACCACAGATTGGAATGCTATACATTCATGAAAATTGTGTTTCAAAACACTGTGTGGCCATAGGCATGTCTCTCTGTGTAGGTGCACGTACATTTAAGTGTCAAGGAAAATAGAAAGGTAATTAGCCACGCTATTAAAAGGATTATTGGCGAATGGTGACATTTTTACGTTCCTTTAAACCTCAGTATATTCTTCTTATTATTATTTTAAGTTTATTTTGAGAGAGCATAAGTGGGAGAGGGACAGAGAGAAAAGGAGAGAGTGAGAATCCCAAGCATACTCCACTCTGAGAGCACAGAGCCCAATGTGGGGCTTAAACCCATGAAACTGTGAGATCCTGACCTAAGCCAGAACTAAGAGTCAGACTCTATCCAATTGAGCTACCCAGATGCCCCCTTCAGTATATTTTCTAAAATTTCCAGAGTGGTCATGAAATACTTGTATATTCAAAAAAAAATTATTAAAAGATATTTTTATTTATTTTAATTTTTTTTAAGTTTATTTTGAGAGAGAGAGAACATGCGCACAAGTGGGGGGGGGAGAGAGAGAGAGAGAGAGAGAGAATCCCAAGCAGGCTCCACACTGTAAACATGGGGCTCGAACCCACAAACTGTGAGATCATGACCTGAGCCGAAGTCAGTCGCCCAACCAACTGAGCCACCCAGGCGCACCCCCCCCCCCAAATTTTTTTTAATGTTTATTTACTTTTGTGAGAGAGAGACAGAGACAGAGCACACGTGGGAAGAGGGAGAGGGAGACAGAATCCAAACTCAGGCGAGATCATGACCTGAGCCAAAGTCAGACACTCAACCAATTGAGCCACCCAGGTGCCCCTCAAACATTTTAAACTCATGTCCCCACTTGAAAAACATAAAAATCTCACTACTATCCTCTTTCCTCACTCACTCTGAAAACGATGTTATAAAAAGAAAACAGTTGGGTTATTTGATGTTTTTCAAATACAAAGTTATGACTGAAAAAGCTCTATAAACACCACCTAAAGATAATGATCTCCCGAAGTTGATGTCTTGTACTAAAAAAACCACGAATAAGGGCACCTGCCTGACCCAGTCAGTAGAGCATGCAACGCTTGATGCCAGGAGTTGGGATGTTGATCCCAACATTGGGTGTAGAGATTACTTAAAGATATAATCTTAAAAGATTTAATAGTCTTTGAAATTCCTTTCAAATGTAGGAGTCAGATTTTTAGTTCATAAATGCCGTCGAATACAATGTGTGTGAATCTTAGGACATGCTTAGAAATTGTATCATTGGACATGAACTTTTTCTGAAAAGACCTTGAACAAATTAGTGTTACTCTGTTTATCTACACTTTCATATTTTGTGATGAAGTGTGTTTTAATGTGTTTTTAAGGATCCTTAGGATCCTTATTTGGGGAGGTCTACTGTTGACGGGTAACTGCAGTTTCTGTTCTG